ACCTAGATTGACTGGTCAAAATGAAAAGTATAGGAAGTGGGAGCAGAGGAGGCCAGTTCCTTGATCCTGTTCCACTATTCAATACATTTGTAGCCAATCCAATTTGGCTATCCATCCCGGTTAACCTCCCATATGTTCCCAGTTCCTTTCTGTCAAAATGTGTCTAACTCAGCCTTGAACAGATTCATCGACTGGGACCCACTGTTCCCTGTGGAGGGGAATTTCAAAGATGAAGACCCTGAGAGAGATCAAAATTCCTCCTCCTCTCCAACTTAACCTCTCATTTTGAAACTATACCCTTTCTTCTAGATTTTTCTGAGAGGGGAAACATCTTCTCAGCATCAACGATAGTAGGAACTGCAGATGCTGGAGAATCTGAGATAACAAGGTGTACAGCTGGATGAACACAGCAGGCCAAGCAGCATCAGAGGAGCAGGAAGGCTGACGTTTCGGGTCGGGACCCTTCTCAGCCTCAACCTTGTCTTATACAATCTTACGTGTTTCTATAAGATCACTTCTCATTTTGTAAACTCCAAGGGAGGGAGGCAATGGTCTACTGGTATTATTGTTGGACTGTTAATCCAGAGACCCAGCTAATGTTCTGGGGACCTGGGTTCAAATCCTTCTACAGCAGATGGTGGAATTTGAATTTAATGTATTTTTTAAAAATCTGGAATTAAGACTCTAGTGATGACCATGAATCCATTGTCAGGAACAACCCATCTGGTTCACTAATGTCCTGTAGGGAAGGAAACTGCCATCCTTACCTGGTCTGGCCCACATGTGACTCCAGACCCACAGCGACGTGGTTGACTCTTAACTGCCCTCTGGGCAATTAGAGATGGGCAATAAATGCTGCCTGGCCAGCGATGCCCTCATCCCATGAATGCATTAAAAAAAATACCAAGTATGGCCACAGTCTGCCCAACATTTCCTCATAAAATACCAAATGCATCGCAGGAATCAACTTAGGAGACGGTAGCAGTTTTAATACCCCTGTTCTTTAATACTTAATTCAAACAGGAGGCAATTGCCAAATATATTCCAATCACTGAATTAAGATTTCACTTCAAATTCACAGACACATTTGCCAAGCCAGATTTCCTCCTCACGGCCCGAGCCGTCCCTTCAAGTTATTACTCAGTACAGTGACAATCGGGTAGTGTGTAAATGTGGCGCATGTCACAAAGGTTTCAGATTGTTGACAACAAGTTGGTGCAGAGAGACTGGAATCTCCTCAGCAAGTTCAGATGGAGAGACAAGAACCAGCAAGAAAACAATTCAGAAAAGTATTTCTTAAAATAATAGTTCATTGTAACAGCAGTGAAACGAACTCTCCTTCCAGCACTTGGATACTCAGTGACGGTAGTGATGATATGCGCTCCGCAATTGCATTTATTTAAACTATCAAGTCAGTGGCTACGTTCTGAGCTTGTTTATTCATTCACGGGATGAGGGCATCACTGGCTAGGCAGCATTTATTGCCCATCCCTAATTACCCAGAAGGCAGTTCAGAGTCAACCACATTGCTGTGGGTCTGGAGTCACATGTAGGCCAGACCAGGTAAGGATGGCAGTTTCCTTCCCTAAAGGGCATTAGTGAACCAGGTAGGTTTTACCCCAACAATCAGTTGGTAGAGCATGGGACTCTTAATCCCAGGGTCGTGGGTTCAAGCCCCATGTTGGGCATCAGTTCATTTGTGCTGCTTGCCTTGGTCGTTCAGTGGTAGAATTCTCGCCTGTCACTCAGGAGGACCAGGTTCGATTCCCGGCCAATGCATATTGTTCCTTTCTAGAACAGTGCCAGGGATCCGAGTTCAATTCCACCCTCAGGTGACTGTCCCTGTGGAGTTTGCACATTCTCCCTGTGTCTGCGTGGGGTTGCTCCCGTTCCCCTCCCACAATCCAAAGCTGTGCAGGTTAGGCCATGCTAAATTGCCCGTAGTGTTCAGGGATATGTAGATTAGGTGGGTTATAGGAGATGCTCTGAGAATCAGTGTGGACTTGTTGGGCTGAAGGGCCTGTTTCCACATCATAGGGATTCTGTGAATCGACAATAGATTCACGGTCATTATTAGACTCTTAATTCCAGATATTGCAAGTGCCTTGGCAGGATTTGAACCCAGGTCCCCACAATGTTGTTTGGGTCTCCAGATTAACAGTCCAGCAACAGTACCGCTAGGTCATCACCTCCCCACTGTTCTGCCTTCAGTGACACTGAGAAAGTACGTGGGATTGATAACAACTGTCAGCCATAGAGCTGAGCAGTCAGAGAGTTTGTTACCTGCATCCAGCTCCTCCACAAGGAACTGATTCCTCTCTATGGATTGTGATATTTCACTGCAAATGTCCCTAACCCACAAGGATTGCAGTGGTTCAGGAACAGAGTTCACCGCCAGCAACACCAAGGGTAGTGAGAGATGGGCAATAGATTACACACACATCCCATGAACAAAAACAAATATCATTCACATGACCTCACTTGAAAGTCAGGAAGGATTTCAGAAATAGGATCTGCTGTAACTGAACAAATCAAACTGAAAAGCATTGCAATTTTGTCTTTTTTTTCCTCTCATTTTAAGCATCTGTTTGTAGAGCCATATTTAGTGTTTCCAATACCTGGTCAAGTACATTAATCATGCACGTTCTTTGTTCCTCCCTCTTCCCCTGCATCTTTCTCACACTCCTCTCTCTCTGTTCTTCCCTCTCCGTCACATTTCCCTTCTTCAGCCCTTCAAAACTCCCTCTTACTTCCAATCTTCTCCCAACCACTGTGTTCACTTTTCCACCTCAGACCAAGCAGAGGTGACACTATTTTCAATGCTTTATTCACAGAGCTTTAAATTGTCTGCTCCATGCTCCAGCTCTGGTTTCCAGCTCTTTCTAACTCTAATTCACTCTGAATCCACAATCACGCTTAACCAACCAGCACAGAGATCATCAATCGTGAACAGACTCACAAATGAAACAAGTTGAATATCACACTTACCCCTTTCCCCCATCAATTATCCCATCCTGTTGTCAGAGTGTTGTTTAAATGCAGCAATCATAAAGACACAGGGGATTATACCTACAGCGGTATAACAGCATAGTAACACTACCAAGCTAAGGGACTAGCATTCAAACTCATTGTAACATACAGTCACACAGCATGGAAACGGACCCTTCAGTCCAACTCGTCTATGTCAACCAAGTTTCCCAACTAAACTAGTCCCATCTGCCCTTATTTGGCCTGTATCCCACAAATCTTTCCTATTCATGTACTTATTTAAATGTCTTTTAAACGTTGTAACTGTACCTGCACCCACCACTTCCTCTGGAGGTTCATTCCACACACGAACCATTCTCTGTGTAAAAAAAAAATTGCCTCTCATATCTTTTTAAAATCTTTGTCCTCTCACCTTAAAAATACGCCCCCTAGTCTTGAAATCCCCCGCCTTAGGGAAAATCCACCTGCCACGCACCTTATCTATGTCCCTCATGATTTTACAAACTTCTATAAGGTCACCCTTCAACCTTTTATGCTCCAGTGAAAGAAATTCAGCTTCTCTTAATAACTCAAACTCTCCATTCCCATCAACATCCTGGTAAATTTCTTCTGAACCCTCTCCAGCTTAATAATATCCTTCCTATAACTGGACGACCAGAACTGGACACAGTATTCCAGAAGAGGCATATACCTGTGTGGGAGAAAATTCATGAAACAATTTTCTATTAATTACAGCTAAAAATCACAACCATATACTACTTGAAGGACTTTACATTTGTTTTAATTCACAGGATGTGGGCATCGCTGGCTAGGCCAACATTTAGTGCCCATTCCTAATTACCCAGAGGGATTGGCAATAGTTTTATGGTCATTGTTAGATTAAAATCCAAATGCCACCATCTGCCATGGTGGGATTTGAATCCAGATTTCTAGGACATTACCTGAATTTCTGGATGAATAGTCCAGCAATAATATCACTAGGCCATTGCCTCCCTGTGCAAGAATGCACTTCCCTTTCTGGTAGCAGAGAGTGGCCTGAAGGAAGGATGCACAGCCTTAGCATGTACCAAAGAGCTTCATAGCCAAGAAAGTACATTTCACATGTAATCTATGGTGCATTGCAGGAAATGTAACAGTCAGCTTGTGAACAATCACACATAACCTACGGCTGTACTAGTCTGAAAATGTCTGATCTCAGAAGCTAAACAGACTCAGGCCTGGTTAGTACTTGGATGGGAGACCACCTGGTGCAGTAGGCTTTTTTAAAAAAAAGGGGGTGGCACAGTGGTTAGCACTGCTGCCTCACAGCACCAGGGACCAAGATTCAATTCCACCCTCATGTGACTGTCTGTGTGGAGTTTGCACGTTCTGCCTGGGTTTCCTCCAGTTTCTTCCCACAGTCCAAAGATGTGCAGACTAGGTGGATTGGCCATGCCAAATTGCCTGTAGTGTTCAGGGATGTGTAGATTAGGTGGATGGGTTTGGGTAGGTGCTCTGAGGGTCAGTGTGGACTTGTTGGGCCGAAGGGCCTGCTTCCACACTGTAGGGATTCTATTGTAGCAATGAGACAAATGAACAGATAGACAGTTTCCCACAATGTTGCTCAAGAGATTAACATTGACTGACACATTGTGAAGAACTCTCTGCTGCTGTTCTTCAAAACAGTGTCATGAGATTTTTAACGTTCACCAGAGAGGCATGGTCTCAGTCAAATGTCACACCAGCAAGAGGGCACCGCTGACAGTGTGGCACGCAGTCAGCGCTGGACTAAGTGTAGCAACCCCTCAGTCCCAGACTGAATGTCAGCACAGAGTCAGTGCGCATGACTCTGATGTGGGACCCCACAGGCTTTGGCAGGGAGAGCCACTGGGGAAGGGGTGAAAAAGGAGAAAGCATGTGCTAACAATGGACGAACATTGCCCTGTGCTTATTAACTTCTGAAAGCGTACTGTGCATGTGACCAAAAGTAACTTTATAACAGAAAAAACAGAGCGCCTGTGGAAGTTATTTACCTTGTCGTAAGTAACGTTTGGTTCGGCTTTGCCTGGTGGCTCGACCCAGGAAGAGGTTTTCCACATGTTCTTGCCAGGCCCTTTGGCTTCCAATGTCCTTGACCCCGCACCGTGGCTCCATCATCTGCTGCACTGTGGGTTCATCCAGGGCACCGCTGATTGGGAGGTGAGAAATCCATTGGAACTTCCTGCAACACACCACCGCAGACAGAACGCAATGAACACAGAGAAACACAGGCTGGGGGCAGCAGCTTCAGGGGGACTGTAAAGCAATTGGCATGGAATAGGAAGGACCACACACAACAAAGTACCTACCAAACCTCCATATCGCACCACTGATTGGTTTGGGCAGCTGGGGCAACCCAAGGGGCACAATAGGAGTGGAGGGTGATGGGGTGAGTGGGGTAATATCTGGCATGTTGTTGAAGGGCGACATGCTAGTCACTTTGCTGCCATCCTTTGGCATTTTACTTCCCCCATGGAAAACAGCAGATGCCCCATAAGACCATAAGATATAGGATCATAATTAGGCCATTTGGCCCATCGAGTCTGCTTCACCATTTGATCATGGCTGACGTGTTTCTCAACCCCATTCTCCCACCTTCTCCCCATAACCTTTGATCCATCTACTAATCAAGAACTTACCTATCTCGGTCTTAAAGACACTCAATGACTTGGCCTCCACAGCACTCTGTGGCAATGAGTTCCACAGATTCACCACCCTCTGGATGAAGAAATTCCTCCTCATCTGAGGTCTAAAAGATCATCACTTCACTCTGAGGCTACGTCTTTGGGTCCTAGTCTCTCCCACTAGTGGAAACATCTTGTCCATATCCCCTTCATACAGGCTGCTCAGTATTCTGTAAGTTTCAATGAGATCCACCCTCATTCATCTAAACTCCATCAAATAAAGAGCCAGAATCCTCAAAAGCTCCTCATACGACAAGCAATTCAGCTTCGGGATTATTCTTGTAAACCTCCCTTCCAAGGCCAACACATCTTCCCTTAGATACAGGGCCCAAAACTGCCTACAATTTTCCAAATTCAGTCTGACCAAAGCCTTATACAGCCTCAGCAGTACATCCCTGCTCTTGTATTCTAACCCTCTCAAAATGAATGCTAACATTGCATTTGCCTTCCTAACTGCCAACTGGACCTGCTTGTTAACCTTAAGAGAATCCTGAACTAGAACTCCTAAGTCCCTTTGTGCTTCAGATTTCTGAAGCCTTTTCCCATTTAGAAGATAGTCTCCTCCTCTATTCTTCTTACCAAAGTGCATGACCTCACGCTTTCCCACATTGTACTCCATCTGCCACTTGTTTGCCCACTCTCCTAACCTGTCCAAATCCTTCTGCAGCCTCCCCGCCTCCTCAACACTACCTGTCCCTCCACATAACTTTGTGTCAACTGCAATGCCATGAGTTTCTTTGTCCAGATTGTTAATGTATAACGTGAATTGTTGTGGTCCCAACACGGACCCAACAGAAATTCACTAGTTACTGGCTGCCATCCTGAAAAAGACTCCTCTATCCCTACTCTCTGCCTTCTGCCAGCCAGCCAATCCTCTATCCATGCCAGTACCTTGCCCCAACATCATGGGCTCTTGTCTTATTTAGCAGCCTCCTGTGTGGCACCTTGTCTAAGCCCTTCTGGAAATGCAAATAGATCATATCCACTGACTCTCCTTTGTCTAACTTGCTCATTACCTCCTCAAAGCATTTTAACAGATTTACAAGGCGTGACCTCCCCTTGATGAAGCCATACTGTCTCACTGCCCTATTTTACAATGTACTTCCAAATACTCTACAATCTTATCATTAATAATTGACTCTAAACTTTTACCAATGACTGAGGTCACGCTAACTCGCCTATAGTTTCCTGCCTTCTGTCTCCCTTCTTAAATGGGGCGTTACATAAGGTATTTTCCAGCCCTCTGGGACCCATTTCTTTGCTCCCCATTACTATTTCTCCGGCCTCATTTTTCAGTGGTCAATGTCCGTTCTTGCCTCTTAAAAAACTCTTACAATCTTCTTGTATATTACTAGCTAGCTTACTCTCATATTTCATCTTCTCCCCACTTATTCCTCATTTAATTGTTCCCTGCTAGTTATTAAAGGTTTCTTAATCCTCTGGCTTCCCATTACTTCTCACCACATTATATACTTTTTCTTTTGCTTTTATGCTGTCCCGGACTTCCTGTGTCAGCCATGGTTGTCTCATCCTCCCTTTAGCACATTTCTTCTTCCTTGGGGTGAATTTCTACTGTGCATCCAGAATTACCCCCAGAAACTTCTGCTATTGCTGCTGCACATTTCCCTGTTAGGGCCCTCTTCCAATCAACTCTAGCCAGCTCCTCCCTCAGGTCTTTGTAGTTACTTTTACTCAATTGTAATACTGTTACATCAGATTCCAGTTCCTCCCTCTCAAACTGCAGGGTGCATTCTATCATAATTATGGCCACTGCCCCTAGGGGTTCTTTCACCTTATCTTAAGCTCCCTAATCAAGCCTGCCTCTTTACACATCACCAAATCCAGAACTTCCTGTTCCCTAATGGGCTCTACTACAAGCTGCTTGAAAAATAATCACCTCGTAGCCATTACACAAATTTCTTGAGATCTGTCACCAGCCTAATTTTCCCAGTCCACCTACATATTGAAGTCCCCCATGATTATTGTAATAGTGCCTTCCTTACATGCCTTTTATATCTCCTGATTTATTTTCTTCCCCACATCCTGACTATTGCTCAGAGTACAACAACTCCGAACAGAGCCTTTATCCCTTTGCAGTTCCTCAACTCTACACCCGCAGATTCTACATCATCCAATCCTATATCACTTGTTGCTATCGATTTAATTTCATTTCTTACTAACAAGACAATACCACTCTCTCTGCCCATCTGCCTGTCCTTTCGATAGGCTGTGTATCCTTGGATATTTATTTCACAGCCCTGATTCCCTCCCAGCCATGCCTCTGTGATACCCACAACATCGTACCTGCCAATTTCAATCTGTGCTACAAGCTCATTTACCTTGTTTTGAATACTGTGCGCATTTAATTACCAACCCTCAGTACTGCGTCAATTGCTCCCCATCGGAACAGCTCCCTCCTTCCCCAAGTACTGGTTCCAATATCCCATGAATTCAAACCTGTTTCTCCCACACCAATCACTGAGTCATGTGTTGATCTCTTTAATCATGCTGACCCTGTGCCATATTGTTCGTGGTTCAGGCAGTAACTTGGAGATTATCATCTTTTTGGTTCTGCTTTTTTAATTGAGCCCCTTGTTGCTCATATTCCCTCAGCAGAACCTCTCTCCTCTTTCTAACGATATCATCGGTACCTATGTGGACCACAACAACCGGTTCTTTCCCCTCCCACTCCAAGTTCCTCTGCTGCCCAGATGAGAGATCCTGAACCCAGGCACCAGGCGGGCAACACAGCATTCGGGACTCCCGATCCTGCTCACAGAACAGTGTCTATTCCCCTCACAATAATACTCCTGATTACAACTACATTTCTTTTTTCTATCCCCTCTTGCATGGTTCCCTGTACCACAGTGCTATGGTCAGTTTGCTCATTCTCCCTACAGCCCCCGCTCTCATCCACACAGGGAGCGAGAACCTCAAACCTGTTAGAAACTATCAAGGGCTGAGGCTCCTTGAGCACTGCCTCCTGGATCCCTCTACCTGCCTCACTCATGGTCACACTCTCCTTGTCCCTGATCACTGACTGAATTTGAGGTAGTTCATCTAAGGGGTGTGACTGCCTCCTGAAACACAGCATCCAGGAAGTCTCCCCCTCCCTGATGTGTCACAGTGTACAAAGATCAGACTCCAACTCATCAATTCTGAACCGGAGCTCCTCAAGCAACCAACACTTGCTACACACGTACAGTTACCACTTGCTCATGTTACACTGTCAGAGGGAGTTGAGAGGAAGAAATAATGAGAGACCAAGTTGGGAAACACATTTGAAAATTTAACAGATTTGACAGACACCATTTGTGTATGTGGATGAGTGCCCAAGATGGCTGCCATGACGGGAACATATTAGATGAAGGCAAGAACAATTAATTCTGTGACGTTTCTCATGGGTAACTAGCCTAACACCCGGTTAAACTTTCTAAACTCAAACAGAATATCCATTGGGCTAAAAGACAGTGCGAGGAGCCATTTCCTATGAAACTATACCCAAAGGGACTAACATTTAGGAACTGCCCCCTCTGAAGGATTGACATCCGGGAACTGTGCCCAGCAAGGAATCTGAAGATCTTATACACGTCTGACGTTGTGACTTGTTTGCTAAAATGTTCCTGTTCCTTTATGCTTCGTTGCACAAGAATCATGGAATACATTTTTTGCCCTAAACAAAGTTAAAGCAGCTGCTGTGTCACAAAGCGAGTCAATCCCCAATACCTCATTCTGCTAGAGTTGTCTCTGACGAGTGAAAAATCACCTTACAAAAGAAAAACAAATTCTTCCTCAGCAGGAAGTCCAGGTTTCCTCTCTGGTTGATGAGCGCACAAGTTTAAAAAATATACATATAATGCTCAACAGAATACCCACTTCACTTTCTCATCTGTCAGTAGGAGATAAGGAGGAGATAGACATGCAGATAAGGAAAATCCAGAACTTAGAAAGCTGAAATTACAGCAGGAAGTCAGGGAGGCCAGAACTGAAGGAACGTAGCAGATTGTTGGGCTGTAGCACGTTGCAGGAGTGGTTTTTGATCACATGGAAGAGAAGTTTACATTTGAGCAGGGAATGAAGCGAAGGTGAATGGGTCCTGACAGTCAGCATAGCTTTGACAAAGCTCACATTTAGGAATGGAAGCAGGTCATCCCCTTTCAGGAAACCGCTGGAATCATAGAGTCTGGAGGCAACAAGAAAGATTTCAGTAGCAGATGGGCTGAGGCAGGATAAAGACAGGAAATATTCGGGAGAGGTGGAATTCTCCGAACTTGGTGTTGAGGAGGATATGGAGCAGGAAGCTCAGCTCAGGATAAAACAGAATGCCAAGTTTGCAAGTTGCCTGTGAAGTAGCCAGGGAGGAGGTAATAGATATAACACAGGATGTGCAAGGAGCAATAAATCTTGCGCCATCCTTAGCTACCTCATAACTAGCTAGATTTCTGTTTTTGAAAGGATATGAATCATAGCTGTCTGATATTATTGCAGCACCTCAGATACTGATTACAGGACCAGGGACCCCCAGAATAGCTCTGAAAGGAACATTTTGCCTTTCAAAGACAGTCAAAGATGGAGTTTAAAAAAAACCCTACCCAATTCTGGAGGCAGGTTATCAGATACCCATCAAATTCAGTCTGAACAAACATATACCTCACTAAGGACATGACTTACTGCCATTGAAACATGTCAAAGATCCAAGAATAACACCTTTCCAGCAACCAAGGCAACTCACCAGTCCAAGCGTGTACGTTTGGCTATCTAGCTGTCCTTTCGTATATAATGTATAAAAATCGACACACCCAAACTCCAACTTTTTCTAATAAAAGAGTAACAGAAAGTCATTCTGCAAGTTTTGCCTGAGTGAAAAGTAAGTTCCATGAGAGGAAAGATTGGAAGCAATTTTGCTTTTTGGAAATCAGGAGGAAAGGATATGTTGAGTTGTTTGATTATTACTTATTTGTCCAAATGTTTGGCTTCCTTGGAAGGAGAGATGATGGGCAGTTGACCAAAGAAGTGGCCATTATACACTCTCTGTGTCTGAGCTATGGGGGTTAGTGCTGATCCTCAAATGTAGAACTGTGACACTGCCAAGCACTGAGGTCCATTAATTTGATAATTTTGCATTTACATAGCCCCTGTATTTCAGGTCATTCAAAAGCAGTTCACTGCTACACTGTAGGTACTAAGGCAGCCAATTTGTGCACATATTTGGCCTGCAGGCAATTGTGCAATAATGACTGGGTAATCTAGTTTAGTGATGTTTTGTTATAGAGTCATTAGGCACAGACATAGACTCTTCGGTCCAATTCATCCATGCTGACCATAATCCCAAACTAAATAGTCCCAACTGCGTGCCCATATCCATCCAAACATTTCCTATTCATGTGCTCATCCAAACATCTTTTAACATTGTAACTGTACCTGTATCCACCACTTCCTCTGGAAGTTCATTCCACACACTCTCTATGTTAACAAAAAAAACTGCCCTTCATGTCTTTTTAAAATCTTTCTCCTCTCACCTTAAAAATGTGTCCCCAAATCTTGAAATCCCTCATCCTAGGAAAAAGACACCTGCCATTCACTTATCTATACCCCTCATGGTTTTATAAACCTCTATAAAGTCACCCCTCAACCTCCTACACTCCAGTGAAAAAAGTCCCAGCCTACCCAGCCCCTCCCTATAACTCAAACCTTCCATTCCCAGTAACAGCTTGGTAAATCCCTCCTGAACCCTCTCCAGCTTAATAATATTGTTGAGAAAATAAAATGACCAGGACACAAGAATAACTCCCCTACTCTTAGTCTTAGAATCATTGAGTTTTACAGCATAGAAAGAGGCCCTTTGGCCCTTTGTTTGTGTACCAGTCCATCAACTCTAGTCCAAGTTAGGCTTGTGATGCTGTGGGATGGCTGAGGTGGGGAAAGTGTGAGCTTTGACAACGACAGGGGCTGGAGGAGCTACCCAGAGGTTGGGTTACCAGGAATGATTACCTGTGTCGTTGATGGGAGTTAGCAGTATGTACTCAGCAGTTGAGTGGGTTTTGAGCTAGGTTCCTGCTAAGGTTGGAGGGGGGTTTGCTAACAGTGAAACCCGTGCTATCTTCATTGCACCACCCACAGGAGTTCCTGATACCTGCTGTTCAGTACACAAGGGTTCAATATACGCTTACAACCTGCCTTAGGACTCATAGGCATCAGAGGACAGAGGTCAGGGGTGTTACAGCTCCTGCATGCTGGAAAGCAAGCCTCACTATTCTCGGGTTCATGACCAAAGTTAATGATTTTAAAATGTAGACAAAATTCCCCTATTTATCTCCTTTTTAGATTCAGATAAACAGAAAGCACCAACCAATTTTGTAATACTTAATAATTTCGATGTACTACAAATAAATAGATTCTCATTACAGATAAACAATCTCGAACAACATTCCCCTTAAACCACGCACAGTCACTCCGACTCTCCAGACAAAGCCATCGGTGTTCTGGGAGCTAGGCTCCCTGTTGGTACTGCATTGGAGGCAAGCTAAAGATACTTTGCTGGGTCTTAAAGTTGCTGTGAGTTGGCAGGATTGCTGGGGTCAGTCAGAGCGGGCTCAGCAGAGTGGAGGTGGACAGTCATTTCCAGGGTAGGAGGCAACTTCTGGAGGGACTGCCCATGAGGTCCCCACATTGGGTTCAGAAGTAGGGAACCCACAAGCTGCCAGGTCATGGCCCCCACCTACCTCTGGTCAAGAGCCAATTATTAGAGTCATAGAGATGTACAGCACGGAAACAGACTCTTCGGCCCAACTTGTCCATGCTGACCAGATATCCTAAATTAATCGAGTCCCATTTGCCAGCATTTGGTTCATATCCCTCTAAACCCTTCCCATTCATATACCTACCCAGATGCCTTTTAAATGTTGTAATTGTACCGGCCTCCACCACTTCCTCTGGCAGCTTGTTCCATACACGCACCACCCTCTGTGTGAAAAAGTTGTCTCTCAGGTCCCTTTTAAATCTTTTCCCTCTCACCTTAAACATATGCCCTCTAGTTTTGGACTCCCCTACCCTGGGTAAGAGGTCTTGGCTATTCACCCTATCCATACCCCTCATGATTTTATAAACCTTTCTAAGCCTCAGCCTCCGATGCTCCAGGGAAAATAGTTCCAGCCCGTTCAGCCATTCACTACAGCTCAACCCTCCAATCCCAGCAACATCCTTGTAAATTGTTTCTGAACCCTTTCAAATTTACCAACATCTTTCCTGTAGCAGGGAGACCAGAATTGAACGCAGTATTCAAAAAGTGACCTAATAAATGTCCTGTACAGCCGCAACATGACTTCCCAACTTAATATTAGATGGTAATACTGTTCCCAGCCCAGACTTAACAGGAGGCAGTTTGGATTGGTGACAGAGTCTATACCCTGAACCTCTCTGTCCAAGGACACTCCTCCTTCCCCATCCCCAGGAAGTGTGTTAAATTGAAGAGCCTCAATGTTGCCATTGGTGAATGAAGACTTGGCTTACGCAACTCTGATGTTGTGCTTTTGTCATTTCACTGCCTTGACTGTAAAAGCCTCACCTTACTGCCTCTTTGACCTGAGCTAAACTCAGTTCCTCAGGAGGGCCAGGTTCCAGGTAGCCGTACTTTTCTAAGAATGCCTTGGGGAACAAAAAGAAAGAGCATTCTCTTAAAATCAGAGTGACTGAACAAAAAGAGCGGTATTGTTCTATTAAATATTAATGTCCACGCATCGCACCAGCAGTCAGATGTCAATGGCACAATAACAGAAATTGCTGGAAAAGCTCAGCAGGTCTGGCAGCATCTGTGAAGAAAATGTCTGGGTTAATGTTTCGGGTCCGGTGACCCTTCCTCAGAGGTGCTAAGCTTTGGGGGCCAGGGATGGGGGCAGGGGTGGGGGTTACTGAAAAATTGATGGGAGCTTCCTTGACCACCTTGCTATTTGATGTGTTCTATGAGGTGTTTGATCCCCAGTTTGGCAGTTATCCATATTTACCTCATGTTATTTCTGGATGTTAGAGTATGAGTTGTTTTGAGGAAGGGACACCAGACCTGAAGCGTTAACTCTCATTTTTTCTTCACAGATGCTGCCAGACCTGCTGAGCTTTTCCAGAAACTTGTGATTTTGTTCCTGATTTACAGCATCCACAGTTCTTTCGGTTTTTATTTAGATGACAACGGCATCCTGCTGAGTCTGTTTTGACCTAGCAGAATGTCACTGCTTCCATTAAATTCATAGCTTTCCATTAGAGGACCACAAGAGAAGATCTCATTATCAATCATGTATATCAGTGCTCCTTCCCTATCTCTGGCAAAAACCTTTGTCATTTATTATGACTGATGCCAAGAACATGACATGGGGTAATAACTTGTCTGTACACTACGCATATTCCTTATAAACTGCTTCATCAATCTCTATACATAGTGTACACTAAACCTTCCATCCTTATTGGGTAAGTATGACTGTGTACACTTGTTAGGATGGGGGTGTGAATGGCTGGAAAGCTGGCTTGCAATGCTGAGTGACACCAACAGATGGCATCAATTCCCATGCCAGCTGAGGTTACCATGAAAGTCCCACCTTCCCACCCTCTCCCCTTGCCTGAGGCACAGTGACCCTCAGGTTAAACCACCACCAGTCCTCTGTCTCTCTCTCTCTAATGAGAGAACACCCTATAGTGCTCTGGAACTATGGTACCTTTACCTTTACACTTGTTAGGTGCTTGTAATTGACTAAGTCAAATTTGTAAAAAAAACGAAGTTGCTGGAAAAGCTCAGCAGGTCTGGCAGCATCTGTGAAGGAAAAAACAGACTTAACGTTTTGGGTCCATTATGAGGAAGGGTCATCGGACCCAAAATGTTAACTCTGTTTTTCCCTCTACAGATGCTGCCAGACCTGCTGGGCTTTTCCAGCAACTTTGTTTTTGTTCCTGATTTACAGCACCCGCAGTTCTTTCGGGCTTTTTCTCAGTCAAATTTGTTTTGGGCTAAAGATGATTTTGGTAGTTCCAAGGATTTTTAAGGAGCATTTCCATTTTTTTTATATAAGACTACAAGCCTGCTTTCTGTGGCATTGCAGGCAAGCATATGATGATCAAAAATAGGCCTTTGCAATTTGCTTTCACAACAATACAATTTCATTATAAAACTATACACAGTAATGAAATTCATTTTCCACCCCTGTTTCTATGTGTTCTGAAGTTGCATCTATGGAGAAAGAGTTAGCTTGGCAACTGTAACATTCAGGGAACATATGTTCCAATATTAGTTATTGTAAGGTTTCAATAGGTCTCCCAGATCAGGTCGAGTCAGATCAGCTTGCTTCAGGTGGTTGGAAACAGTGAAAGAGGCTCCATCCTGTACAATTGAGCTGCTGTAGAATGCTGTATGTAACTAAGGTTCACAAACATCCTAGGAATCAGTACAGGCAGCTATGTCTCTCTGTTCGGGCTCAGGGTAAGCTCTAAGAGTTGTAGGGGCTTTGAAGAAGCTTGGAAGCTATTAATATTTTAGTGCAGCTGAGAGAGGTTTTTATTCACTCAGGAATTGTGGCTGGATCAGCATTTATTGCCCATCCCTAGTTGCCCTTGAGAAGGTGAGGGTGAGCTGCCTTCTTGAACCACTGCAGTCCTCCTGCTGTGGGTTGACCCACAATGCCCATAGGGAGGGAATTCTAAGATTTTGACCCAGCGACAGTGAAGGAACGGCGATATATTCGGGATGGTGAGTGGCTTGGAGGGGAACTTACAGGAGGTGATGTTCCCATATATCTGCTGCCGTTGTCCTTCCAGATGGAAGTGGTTGTCGATTTAGAAGGTGCTGTATAAGGAGCATTCTGCAGTGCATCCTGTTGATAGTACACACAGCTGCTATTGAGCTTCAGTGGTGGAGGGAGTGGATGCTTGTGGATGTGGTGCCAATCAAGTGAGCTGCTTTGTCCTGGATGGTGTCAGGCTTCTTGAGTGTTGTTGGGGCTGCACTCATCCAGGCAAGTGGGGAGTATTCCATCACACTCCTGACTTGTGCCTTGTAGATTGCTTCCGAAAGCCTACCCACTATCTGCTGCAGGACTTCTAACTTTTGATCTGCTCCGGTAACCACAGTGGATCTGGTCAATGGTAATCTCAAGGATGTCTATTAAAGGGGATTTGACCATCCTGAGGAATACCTGCAGAGGTATCCTGGAGTTGAGATGACTGACCTCCAACAACCACAACCATCTTCCTATGTGCCCAGTATGACTCAAACCTGTGGAGAGTTTGCCCCCTTATACCCATTGATTCCAGTTTTGCTAGGGCTCCTTGATGCCACATTTAGTCGAATGGAGCCTTGATATCAAGGGCTGTCACACTCACCTCAACTCTGGGATTCAGCTCTTTTGTCTACGTTTGAATCAAGTCTGTAATGATGTCAGGAGCTGAGTGGCCCTGGCAGAACCCAAACTGGTGTCACTGAGCAGGTTATTGTTGAGCAGATACTGCTTGGATAGCTCCTTCCATCACTGTATTGATGAATGATGAAAGAGAGTGAAGGAAACCCACAAGTATTATTTGCAGTGTACAGCTGAGGAACATTAGATCTCGGAGAAACCCAGTGGTAGGAATAGTTGTGTGAAACCAGCTGTGTCAGACTCAAATAATGTCTGTGAGTAGGTGCTGGAGGACAATCCCATGCAGCCAGGGAGCACAGTCCCAGGAAAGGACAGTGAGCAGCCATTGAGGTAGTTCATGACAGATTGATTTTTGAAGGTATTTCAAATCTAGATCTCTGAAAGTGGAGATTTGGAATCCCTTGTAAAATTTTAATGAGATTTGGTGACCCTTCCTCAGAGGCACTAAGCTTTGGGGGCAAAAGGGAGTTAGGGCAGGGGTGGAAGTTGCTGAAAAATCGATGGGAGCTGCCTTGACCGCCTTATTATTTGATGTGTTCTAAGAGGTGTTTGATCCCCAGTTTGGCAGTCATCCCTATTTATCTCATGTTATTTCTGGATGTTACAGTACGAGTTGTATGCCTATTTTGTTTTTCTAACTTTGCTTCAGTAAATTTATTTACTTGCGATGAACAACTTCTTTATTCAGGAGGGTAAGGAACCTGGTGAACTTGCTTCTGATTCTGAGCTACATATTGTCTGATATATAATTCACAATATTGCCTTCCTTTTTAATTCATACTTTGTGGTGGTAGTGGTGGACTGGGACAAGGAATCAATCCACCCATCCTAACTTGATGTAACCATATCTATATTGTACAGTTTTTGAAACTATAAACTGAAATGGAAGTCAATCTGCCAAAACTAAAACACCAGGAGAGTTTTGCAACTTGAAAAGCAAGTGTTATATACTTTTCATGTGTTGCTTTTGAAACAGTGAAAGGGAGAATTTAAGTGGCACTGAGAATCTTTTGAGTTGAGGATATTCTGCCTGAAAACAGTCCTTTTTTTTCACAATGGCAGCCGGTGACTAGTGGCGTTCTGCAGGGGTCAGCGTTGGGGCCATAACTATTCACGTTATACATTAACGATCTGGATAAAGGAATGAGGACATTGTTGCTACATTTGCAGATGACACAAAGATAGGTGGAGGGGTAGGTAAGGTTGAGGAAGCCAGGAGCCTGTGGAATGACTTGGACAGGCTAGGGGAGTGGGCAAAGAAGTGGGCAGTTGGAATAACATATGGGAAAGTTTGAGGTTACGCACTTTGGTAGGAAGAATAGTGGTGTAGACTATTTTCTAAATGGGGAAAGATTGCAGAAATCTGGGCAGGCGACGGCCTAGTGGCATTATCACAGGACTGTTAATTCAGAGACCCAGGTAACATTGTGGGAACTCGGGTTCAAATCCCACCGTGACAGATGGTGGAATTTGAATTCAATATGTACCTAGAATTAAGAATCTAATGATGACTGTGAATCCATTGTTGATTGTTAGAAAAACCCATCTGGTTCACTAATGTCCTTTAGGGAAGGAAACTGCCATCCTTACCTGGTCAGGCCTACATGTGACTCTAGACCTACAGCAATGGGGTTGACTCTAAACTACCCTCTGGGCAACTAGGGATGGACAATAAATGCTGCCTAGCCAGCGATGCCCTCATCCTGTGAATGAATAAAGAAAAAAGAAAAAAACCTGGGAGTCTTCCTGAAGGATTCTCTTAAGGTTAACATGCAGATTCAGTTGGCAGTTAGGAAGGCAAATAAAATGTTAGCATTCATTTCAAGAAGGCTAGAAAATATGAGCAGGGATGTACTGCTGAGGCTGTATAAGGCTCTAGTCAGACTGCATTTGGAGTATTGTGAGTAGTTTTGGGCCCTGTATCTAAGAAAGGATGTGCTGGCTTTTGAGAGGTTCCAGGGAAGGTTCACAAGAATGATCCCGGAGAAGAAGGGCTTGTCATATGAGCAGCGATTGAAGACTCTGGGTCTCTACTTGATGAAGTTTAGAAGGATGAGGGGGGGATCGGATTGAAACGTACAGAATACTGACAGGCCTGGATTGAGTGGGCATGGAGAAGATGTTTCAACTAGTAAGAGAGACTAGGAACCAAGGGCACAGCCTCAGAGCGAGGGGATGACCCTTTAGAACTGAGATGAGGAGGATTTTTTTTCAGCCAGAGGGCGGTGAATCTGTGGTACTCATTGCTGA